ATGCCCCAGAGCTGGGACTGGGATGGAGGGCAAGATGGAGCAGAACAAGTCAGACCCATCCCCCCCAACCAATCTGCTCTCAAGACTGCACTGATTTATGATCTATTTAATCATGAATAATTAATAGTTGGAAAAATCCTCATCAATGTTAGTTATTAATGATTTTTGGGTAGCAAAGGAAAAGGTGAACAGGGAGCTTTTTGGGCAATATGAGTCGCCTATTTGCCTAAAGGGAAATAAAGACCCTGGTTGGGTTCACGTGAGTTGCTTGAGGCTGGGCCATGACTGCAAAATTACAAAACATGGTGGGGATGGACTGAAGAGAAAGCATCAAGAAAAGATTGACTATGGCATGATGGGTAATTTTGCATAAGGAACCACATTGAATTCCATACACTTCCAAGGCAGGATTGCACCTGAAAAGACTGACAGATCCTAGGTAGGGAGTGGACAAAGCCTTTGAGTTCTAAAAATCAACAATAAAAAGAATAAACTACTGGGCTGGGGAGATAGCTCAGTGGAATAAGTGCCTGTCTGGCAAGTGTAGGGTTCTGAGTTCATTCCCTAGTACCACAAAACAACAACAACAACAAAAGAATGAACTACTAATATGAGGGACAAATCTAAAAAGTTATGAAGGGAGATGGGAGCGAAGTGAGAGGAAGGGTAAGAAAAGAGAATCAAAATATGCTATGTAAATTACCAAGTCTCCATGAAGTATGCATTTAGTGTTCAACATGAACATTGGGAAACAACTTAAGCAAATATATACATATACATATGATGTGATCCATTTATATAAAGCTCAAATCTTAAAAAGAAAGCATTATCTGAGAGAGATATGAGGAAGGGGACTTACTGACAGGAAAAGGCATGGGAAAGCCTTCAGAAATGCCAGAAAGGAGGGGTGTGCTGGATATTTACCTTAGTGGCTATGACTTAGTGTAATCAGATGGTGTAACTCTAGACTCTGCACTTCAAGTCTCTATATTTTACTGCTTCAAATTTCACCTCAAACATTTGTCCACATAAGGGGCCTGAGGGAAGGCTGAATCGCAGGTAGCTCAGGAATTCACAGGGGATGGAGTGGCGCTCATTTCACTTCTTCTGAAACTGACTCCCCATACTGCACACTGCCTGCTTTTGTCATTGGCTCATGTCAGATTATAAGCAGCCTCAAATCCCCTTAGTACAAGGCCTTGTGCAGAGCAGGAAGTGGGTAACACCTTGGAATAGAGGAGACCTCCTCTCACTGGATCTTAAGATTGACAGGCTTACTACCCAAGTGCATGCCCTCACTAATGAATGATGATACCTCTGGCTGAAAAGATGGTGTCCTTCATGCAGGCCAGAGATTCAATGCCACAACCCAGAGAAATGACACAGTGCAGCACTTGGGCTCTAGGCAATGTCAGCAACATCAAGCCTTCCCCCCTTTCCCTAGCCCTCAGCTCAGGTGGGCTCCATCAGGGAGCTTACAAGCACTTCCTCCAGGCTCCAAGGTACCTCAATGAAGCAGGAGCTCCTGCTAGCAGCTGTAACTCTCTCCTCTGCCTTGTTCCTCTTTCTGCCCCTTGGCCTCCTTGCCAGTGGGGACAAACACATGAAATTGGTCCACAGCTGTTATATAGGAGTCTTTGCGGTTCACCTGCCCTCAGAGACAAAAGGGCCCTGAAGCATAAACGAGTATCTGACCAGGGGTGAAGTGTTTCCTGTCTTCTCATCATTAAGATGCACGTTCCTTGCACCTAACTGAACTGGGGAGACTCCAAAGGCCCAAGAAAGCCTTTATAATTGCCCTTGAGGATGGAATAAACATGATGCATGGGCTGCTTCCTCCCAGCTGGGCCAGGGCCACCAGCACCTGACTTGCTGATCCTGACCTCAGCAACTTCGAAAGGATTGAGTTTTCCTAGGAAATTAGATCTGTGCAAAATATCCATGAAGTTCCTCACCAGCCTATAAGGCCTCCCTGCTTTTCCTCCTACCCCCGTGAGCCAGCACTGGAGGCCTCCCACATAGCAGGGGTGTGCCTCACCATCTGGGATGAAGAGGTTTGCTCAGGTAACACAAATCCAAGAGGAAAGGAAAGCAGTGCACCTTCCTCACCTCAACTCCCTTCCCTCCCCCCAGACAATACATCATCAATCCCTCTAAACCCTGCCAGTAACATAGGCATTGCCAACAACACACACCCACATAGGCACACCACATTCAAGCATAGACACATACTTCAAGGATTCTGAGGTTATTGCCAGACAAGAATTACAAGGCCAGAGCTTGACCTCAGTGGGCTTTTAACATAAACCAAACTTCCCAATAAGAGCAGAGACTTGGGGTAAGAGGGAAGGACTCCACTGCCAGTCTTTCGGCCATGTCAAATGTCAAAGCAAAAGCTGTGTGTAATTCTGACAACCAGACTATGGTGAATATAAGCTCTCCTGGGGTGTAGGCAACCCTCTAAAGCCCTTTGTAACTATGGACAGTCAGGCAAGGAGAGGTAAGTGGAGCATGAAGGCAGGCAGGACCCCAGGGGTGTACTTGTCCATGAGGTAATCACAAGAGAACCTTCCACAGTATCTCCCAGGTCCACTCTGCAGCCTGATTATTCAAGCAGCTTTAAAATGTCAACGTCCTGGGGGAGTAGCTTGATGCTGAAGCCACCTGTGCCACACACAGGGCCCTTCGTAATAAAATAAAATTCCAAGAAGATGTTGAGGTTAACTGGAAGGAAGAAGCTGTTAACTCTATTTAGTGAGAAGTTGCAAGCTTATAAATTCTCTGGTATAGGGAAGAATTCCATGTGGTCAAAACCATCAAGGACTACTCTCAGTAACTGTGTTTGTGTATGGTAATGTGTCCTGCCACAAAAGCATTGTTCATGGAGATTGCCCAAGACAAAAGGAACTGTAACCATTGGCAAGGCTGTGGCCTGTGCAATCTAACCCTTAACCAGTAGCCAAACTGAACTCAGAGAGGAGTCTCTTTACCAAGGACGTTACTGTACTTTGCTCCCTGGAACTTTTAGGTGTATTACAGTATTAACATCATCTCTGTAAGCTGACATTATAATATTGCACAAAAGTCCCATTTCTTCTTGCTCTGGGGCCACACGTGTGGCTCTATGACAGCCATGACCTGAAACTAATACATTCTTGGAGTCGTGTGTCTGCCACCACAGGCACTAGGATAATGGCTCCAACCCTTCTCAACCCAAGGAGAATTTCATCAAAGAACACAGACCACATATGACAGTGTCTCTTGCCTTCCTGAAAGGAGGTTCCAGCTTTACCCAAAGCTACCAGCAGATATTTGTAAGCACCTGCTTCTGAACTTAAAATAAGAAGTTCTTCCCTGTTCCCATGGAGTTTACAGTCCAGAGATGGGCAGGTAATTTGTATGTAACAAGACAAATAGAGGAGGCACCTCATGCTGTAAACCTACTGAGTCCATCTGAGCTACAGTGAGCAAAGCTAAGACAGTGTTCTAGAAGAAGCTGCGGGAGAAAGTTAGAAGAAGAGCAACTCTCAGGTTCATTATCACTTCCTCAAAGAAGCCCTCCTTATTCATCCCTTCCAAAATGAGGTGTTTCTGACACTGCTGCACAAGTCCCCTATGTACCACCATCTGCTGTTATAAATTTGTAGCTTTAATTTTGGACTGGTTCTAGGAAGGAAGAGGCTGTGTCCATTTTGCTTATCAACTCTTATCCTAAGACTTGGCTCAGGGGCCAGGGAGATGGCTCAGTGGAATAAGCACTTCCCCAGCAAGCACAAGGGCCTCAGTTCAATCCCTGGTTCCACCAAAAGAGAAAAAAAGACTTGGCTCCTGCTAAGCGCTTTTGCCTAGGTAGGGGCTTGAGTTATGACTGTGAAGATGGCCCTGGGTAGGAAGAATAGCAAAAGAGAGACTGAGTTTGGAAGCGGTTAGGCAATCAAGGACTAGAGAGCCACTCAGGTGAACCAGGACAGGACAGGAGCAAGAACTGAGTCTGGAAAAGACAGCAGGGCAGAAACCAGAAGGTGCTGTGTAAGCCCCACAACAAGGACGTTCTTCTCAGCATGGGGTGATCCTTTGGTGAACTTTGGGCAAGGGAGGTGACCGCATTTGCATCACTCACGCTACAATGTGCAAAATGTTTAGAAATCACCAATCCTGGAAGGAAAACTTCTGCCTGTCTCTCTAGAAGAATGAAATCAGCAAATCATAGACATCTACACACCCATTTATGGTATCACTGTGCACCATAACTAACTTACAAAGTCAGCTTCCATGCTCAACAACAGATTAATGCATAAGGAAAATGTGGTAGGGACACAGAATGCAGTATTAGTGGCCCACAAAGAATGAAATCCTGTTGTTCGCTGCAAAATGAACAGAACCTTAAGACATTATGTTAAGTACAATAAGGGTGACTCAGAAAGGCAAGTACTGCATGCTCTTTCTCCCATGTGGAAGCTAAAATATTGTTGACTTGGAAGTAGAATGTGATTTCTGAAGACTGGAGAGGGTGGGATGCCTAGAGGGTGGGATGAAAACGAAAGTTCAATTAGTGTGTGCTATATGTATGTATAGAACTATCACACTGGACTATATTACCATATATAATTAATACATGCCAACTTTTAAAAGGATTTTTTACAAAGACAGGAAGCTAGAACATTTGTTAGGAGTGTATGTATGAAGGCATGTTGAAAAATTACTATGTGCTGCTCTAGAGACAGAAGATAATTTGGAGAAACTGGAAGGACCAAAGAAACCAGTACAAAGTGGGTTCCACTTGCCTCAGGCAACCCTTGAAAGAAGTGGCTATAGAAAAGGAAGAATGAAGAACTTTCTCTGAAGTTGGGTTGGAATGCCTCCTGTAGTGTCAGAGAACAATCCTGTAGAAACCGAGTCTGTAAGTAGAAGCGCAGATGGAGGGTTCAGCTGGTGTCTGGCCAACTATAAAGTTTCTGCACAGTTCCCAGGTAGAAACAGCCAGCAGGTTACTGAAATTCACATAAATAGGTGAAGGTTTAACAGAAAAACCAATAAAACCAATAACAAACATAATACTAAGAATATAAACAATATTTAAAATCATTATTCTCACATGGAATTTAACCATGACTAATGATATGAAAAACAACCGTTGTAATTCAACTCTAAGAACATATTAATGACCAATATCCGAAAATCACACCCCTTGATCAAAATTATCAACCACTTATTCATCGACTTACCAGCCCCCTCGAATATCTCAGCATGATGAAACTTCGGCTCCTTAATTACGTGTATGCTTAATATTACAAATCATCACAGGATTATTTTTAGCAATACACTACACAGCTGATACAACCACAGCATTCTCATCAGTCACCCACATCTGCCGAGACGTAAACTACAGATGACTAATCCATTATCTCCATGCTCACGGAGCATCTATATTCTTCATTTTCCTTTACCTTCACATTGGACGAGGTATTTACTATGGGTCTTTCACCTTCATAGAAACCTGAAACATTGGAGTACTATTACTATTCACAGTTATAGCTACAGCTTTCATAGGTTACGTCTTACCATGAGGACAAATATCCTTCTGAGGAGCGACAGTTATTACAAACCTTTTATCAGCAATCCCCTACATCGGACCTAACCTAGTAGAATGAATTTGAGGTGGCTTCTCAGTTCACAAAGCCACACTAACTCGATTTTTTGCCTTTCATTTTATTTTACCTTTTATTATCACAGCAATAGTAATAATCCATTTACTATTTCTTCACAAAACAGGGTCTAACAACCCATCAGGACTAAACTCAGATTCAGACAAAATTCCATTCCACCCTTATTACACAATTAAAGATATTCTAGGATTTTTATTTATAATACTTACACTAATATCTCTTGTTTTATTCACACCAGACCTTCTAGGAGACCCAGACAACTATACCCCTGCTAATCCCTTAAATACCCCTCCCCACATTAAACCAGAATGGTATTTCCTATTCGCATATGCTATTTTACGCTCAATCCCTAATAAATTAGGAGGAGTTCTAGCCCTAGTATTCTCCATTTTAATCCTAATACTATTCCCTGTGCTCCATTTATCCAAACAACGCAGCATATCATTCCGCTGTACTAGGACAACTGCTTAGAGCAGAGCATGACTAAGACTGAAAATATAAACTTGAGGAAAATCCACACGACAGTCATTGATATAGAGAAACAGGTAAACCTTCCCAAATTAACCAGAATAGTCTCTTTCATAAGATACTAATTATGAAAGGCCCTGTGAAAATAATAAATTCATATCATAAACCAAGACAAAACTATCACCAGTACTCATAATCTAGCAATCATTTAAAGATTATACATGCACTTATACTTTTATTGCAGCATTTGCCTATATAAAAATAATTATCACATCCCACACATTCAATAATTCAATCATGAACTCCCTTAAAGTAGGAATATATCTTTTCCTAGATTTTATTCATCTTTACAACTTGTGCCTTGTGTGAGACCAGCATAGAGAAGGTACTCAGTCACTGTGCACCGGATGGAATACGTTCCTTAATTAAAACTTTCCTAATTGTTCTCCCAATTAATGGAGGCATATGACTTTTTCTTGGATGGGCATAGACCAAGGTTCTATTGTCCTAGCTCATGAAATCTGAACCATTTCATTTTGGAGCAGAAAGAAAGTCATATAAAATGTCACATGCCAATGCTATGAAAATCAGCATGAGTGACCAAGGTTGTCTTTTTCCCTTTGAGTCTCTGCCTTCTTCTTCTAGACTGAATGCAGCCTTCAGACATCACAGGTGCCCACATCTGTGCATAAATGGAAGGGTTTCATTTATTAAAAAGTCAGAGGGGAAAAGCTATCAAATGGATTCAGTGCAATCTTGATCAAAATACCATTAGTATACTTCACATATCTAGAGAACAAGTTTCTAAAATTCAACTGGAACCAGAAGAGAGCAAGAGTAGCAAAAGCAGTCCTGGGCAACAAAGCCAAGGCAGGTGGCATCACAATTCCTGATTTGAAATTATATTACAAAGCAATTGTGATAAAATTAGCATGCTACTGGCAAATAAACAGACCTGGGGATCAATGGAATGGACTAGAAGATTCAGCCTCAATCACAAATACACGCAGCCACCTTATCTTTGACAAAAGGGCCAAATATGTTCACTGGAAGAAAGATAGCTTCTTTAATAAATGGTGCTGGAAAAGTTGGCTCTCCACATTCTGAAAACTAAAACTAGATCCAGGCCTATCACGATACATTAAGCTAAAGTTAAAATATATCAATTGTCTAAATATTAAAGCAAAAATACTAAATCTACTGAAAGAGAAAGTAGGTAGAAATCTTGAAGATATAGGGATAGGTAGAAAGTTCATGAACAAAAAAAACCAAACAATATGGAAGATACTTCAAAGAATCAAAGATGGAATCTCATCTTTTTGAAAAAATCTTTGCAGCTCAAAAGAAATTACCAACAAAGTAAAAAGAAAACCCACAAACTGGTAAAAAAAAAAAAAAAAAAAAAAAAAAAAAAAAAAAACTTTATCCAAACATCCCTTGTACAAACAACTTCTATCTAGAACATATACAGAATTGAAATAATCAGGCCTCCAAAATTCAATGACCCAATCCA